TTGGCCATGAGGGTTCAGGTCCAGCAGGTGTGGGGTAAACAGAGACGAGAAGGGTTAAAAGTTTGTGGTTCGACACCCAGTCAGTCTAGCAGATGTTTGCGTGAGCCGACTCGTGAGCGGTGGGAGCGCCGGGCGTCTGGGGGCCCGTACACGTCCCGGCAGCTTTGGCATATGTATGTCTCTGGTACGTGGCTCTTGCGGATTTTGGCGCAGGACAGGTGGATCCAGGTGTTGCACTTATTACATTCAATCATGGCTCGGCCAGCGAAAGGCTTCATGCAGAAGCACGTCACCAAATCCCACGAGTCGTCGTCTGAAGGGACAGAAGGTGGTTAGCTTTTTTTTTTTGTTTGTTAAACCATTAATCATGACTTTGGTTATTTAATGGCACAAAAGAATCTTACCAGAGTCCACCATGATGTCCTCGTCCTCTCCTGAGCCGTCCTCGTCTCGAAACACCACCTGTTTCCCCTGGCGGAAGACTGTTCGGTTTCCTGAAAAGCCTTCCACCTTCTGTACCTTCACCACGCCTTCTTCTAGGTCTCTGCCGTCCCAGTGCCGGTGTTCCTCCTTCGGCTCCTCCTTGCAGGGCGATGGGCTGGGCAGGGACGGGGGAAGGAGGGGGATACTGAACTCATCTTCAGGCTCTTCTTTGATTACTCTGCCTCCAAAGGAAAGAGGAGACTGGACCTCTGGTTCTGCCCTGTGGGTCTGCTGATCCCTCGTTTCCTCGGCAGAGTGATACTCCCTCTCCTTTCGCCTTTTCTTCTTCTTCAGCTTCTCGGCTTTCCTGTTGTCGTCTGGGTGCAGGGTGGAGATGGTGCGCTGCAGAGAAAGTGCACACTTTTGCGTCCAACCTTGATCTAACAAATACGCCGAACTATAAGAAGATTGTTGTCTTACGTCTCGTTTGCCGTGACAGGACAGCGAGATCGCAGGCTGTGGACGCTTCCTGCCTCTGTCTTGGGGCACCTTTGGCGGGCGCTGGGGGCAGGAAGATGGCGGTCCTGGTGTCCAGCCATCACTGTCAGCAGTGCTGCCTGTGCTGTTGGGAGGACTGGAGCTGCTGCGAAGTGGAGAGTCCTGGAATAGAAAAGCAGCGATACTCAGATCAGGTGATCAGTCAGAAAACCCAGATATACCACACATGTTTACAGTCAGTGAATGCACCACACAGTTGTTACTGAGTGAGAAAGACAAATTTACCATGTTTAGCATCAGGAATGTAAGAGAACAATGTCCATTTAAGAACAGCAATGCAGGATGTCGTTTTAAAGTTAAACAGTTTTAAGGACATGTCTGAGGTGAGAGAGTTAAACCTAGCTGACAAACAAAACCCTTAAAGCAGTCCAGCAAAGATGCTCAGTAATTCCTATTTGAGCTTTAAAGGTATAGTGGAGGATGTTCATATTCCGGATGGATCATCAAAATAAGTAGCCCTCCTAATTGTAAATCATTCTGGTGATATGTTGACGTAAGGCTGTCCTACATGCTCGTCCCGTTAGCTATTTTTTTTTCTGTGAATGCGCACTTTCAGGTGTATATCTGTGGTGAACTACAGTTTAAGACAGTCATTGAATTTCTTTGAAAATGGCTGAGGGTCATAAGAGAAAAGTGTCCAGGAAGTGTATGAGAAGAAGAGAAAAGGCAGCAGAAGAGAGAAAAAAAGTCCAGAGGGTTTTTGGGATATTTTTTCACGCGATGGCGTACACTGAAAGCACAGGTCGGGCTTCCCACTGATGCCTTGGTTGCAAAGTTTTAACTCGACAGGTAAAGTTTGGCATTCTATTAAGAGAAATCTATTTCACATCACTGCTAGTAAAAGTTATCTTCCTCTATATTGAAACTAT